TACTGGAAAAAGCACTGAAAATGAAAACACACTTTCTGAAATCCTAATTAGCAACTGTTTTTTAAATGGAAAAATCATCAAAAGGCATCTCAGAGATCCCTGTACCCAATACACATCACAATCATGACATGCTTGAAGGTGAAGTTTAATCTGCTTATATTCCCCCCTCCCCCCTCATGAACTTACCAAAAACATTTTTATATAAAAAAAAAAATTCTGTTTCCATTACCGAATGTTGTCATCACTGAGTCTCTATACTTCTCTATGCAATGCAGGCAGATCATGGCTGGTGGAAGGGCGCTGTACATAGCTTCCTGAAAACATAACAGCACCCTGCCTCTGTACTTCTTGTAAGAGCCCTCAGCCCTGATGCAAGCAGTGAGCTGGATCTTGGGAGGAGTTATGCCTCCTCCATGTTTCACAGTAGGTATGTTGGCATAAACGAGCTTCCTCCATGTTTCACAGTAGGTCCGGTCACATGACCGAGCCCCCTTCATGTTTCACAGTAGGTCCGGTCACATGACTGAGCCTCCTTCATGTTTCACAGTAGGTCCTGTCACATGACTGAGCCCCCTCCATGTTTCACAGTAGGTACATATATATATATAACTGAGCATCGTCCATATTCTACAGTAGGTTTGTTGGCATAACGCAACCTGCTCCATGTTTCCCTGTGTGTACAGTATACTTTTCTTTGAAAGTTTATTTTTGTCATAGAGCTGATGTGACTCCCGAAAGCTCCCGTCTGGTCCAGAGGACGTTCTCCCGGAAGCGTTGTGGCTTCTCAGTATCCATTCTATCAAATCCCAGCCTGGCTCCCGGGTCTCCTTCCTTGGAGCTGACTTATAGATCATGTGATCAGACACTGATGGACCTCGGAGTTCAGATTGCATCTCTTTGGAAGTTTTCCTTGACCCTTTGTCTGCCATTCGTACTCTCCTTCTGTTCAATCCGGGGGCCTATTTTCTACTCTGGCCGTGTCCAGGGATGTTGGCGACACTCCCATGGACCTTAAACTTCTCAACATTTGCAACTGTAGTCACAGGAAGATCAAGCTGCACGGAGATGGTCTACTAGACATTACATTTGACATGCTGTAATGTTCTTTTTGGTCTCCTCGGAACAACTCTCTCCTCTGCTTTCTCTGGTCCATGTTCAGTGTGGTGAAGATGATGATACCAAACAGCAGGCTGAGGACTTTTCTCCCTTTAAATAGGCCGACTGACTGACTGACGACTAGATTGAAGACGTGTGTAAGACTAATTAAAGGAATATCACACCGATCCGGTTATTTATCATCTTTTCTAGGGGTACCAACAAATCTGTCCAGGGCAGTCTAGACTATTTTTGTAGAATCGGCAATGTATCTCGTCACGCTTTCTTTATTCTCACGCGCCGGAGACACGCAGGTCTACGTGAGACCATTGATTTTATTGAATCACTTTTCAGGTGGAATGAAGCTTTGTATCAATGAGCTACAAAGGGGACCAACAAATCGGTACTTGTCTGTAGATTTACCTTAGACTAACCTATTCATAAAATATAAAAATTCACAGATCAGCCATAACGTTCTGACCACCCGCCTAATACTGAGGAGGTCCCCCTTCTCCTGACCCGTCCAGGCATGGACTCCACTAGACCTCTGAAGGTGTGCTGTGGTCTCTGGCACCGAGCCGTCAGTAGCAGATCCTATAAGTCCTGTAAGTTGGGAGGTGATCGGCCTCCATGGATCGGACTTGTTTTTCCAGCACATCCCACAGATGATCGATTGGACTGAGATCTGGAGAATTTGGAAGTGGAGTCATCACCTCAAACTCCTTGTTGTTGTTCCTCAAACCATTCTTGGTCCATGTGTGCAGTGTGTTAGGGAGCATTATCCTGCTGAAAGAGGCCACTGACATCAGGGAACACCGTGTCCATGAAGGGGGGACTTGGTCAGTGACAATGTTTAGGTCGGTGGTACGTGTCAGAGTGACATCCACATGAATGGCAGGACCCGAGGTGTCCCAGCTAAACATTGCCCAAAGTATCACACTGCCACCGCCGGCTTGTCTTCTTCCCATAGTACATACTGGTGCCTCCTCTTCCCCAGGTAAGTGACCCACACACGCACCCGACCATCCACATGATGGTTCATCAGACCCGACCACCTTCCTCCATTGCTCCGTGCTCCAGTTCTGATGCTCACGTGACCGTTGAAGGTGCTTTTGGTGGTGGACACGTGTCAGCATGGGCCCCCTGACCGGTCTATGACTACACAATACCCAACAACCTGCGATGCTCTGTGTGTTCAGACTCCTTTCTATCAGAACCAGAACCATGAACTTTATCAGCAATCTGATCTCTAGTATCTCTTCTATTGGATCGGACTACACGGACCAGACTTCCCTCCCCACATCCATCAATGAGCCTCCCACGTCCATCAATGGACCTTCCCTCCCTACTTCCATCAATGATCCTTTCATCCCTCCCCACGTCCATCAATGATCCTTCCCTCCCTACTTCCATCAATGATCCTTCCTTCCCTCCCCACGTCCATCAATGAGCCTTCCCTCCCCACGTCCATCAATGAACCTTCCTTCCCTCCCTACTTCCATCAATGATCCTTCCCTCCCCACGTCCATCGATGAACCTTCCCTCCCCACGTCCATCGATGAACCTTCCCTTCCCACGTCCATCAATGAACCTTCCTTCCCTCCCTGCGTCTATCAATGAGCCTTCCCTTCCCCGTCAATCATTGTGCCTTCCCTCCGTCCATCAATGAGCTTTTCCTCCCCGCGTCCATCAATGAGCCTTTCCTTCCCCCCGTCCATCAATGAGCCTTCCCTCCCTCCGTCCATCAATGAGCCTTTCCTCCCCACGTCCATCAATGAGCCCCGCGTCCATCAATGAACCTTCCCTCCCTTCGTCCATCAATGAGCCTTTCCTCCCCACGTCCATCAATGAGCCCCGCGTCCATCAATGAACCTTCCCTCCCTTCGTCCATCAATGAGCCTTTCCTCCCCACGTCCATCAATGAACCTTCCCTCCCTCCGTCCATCAATGAGCCTTCTCTCCCCCCGTCTGCCCTGCGGTCTCCAGAAATCATGCGCAGTAGCAGGCTGAGGGCCGATCACGTGGGCGATGTGCACACAGGAGACGAGGGCAGATCCCGGAGAGCGGTGTTTGCCCAGCTGGCCGAGGTACGGTAATGACGGCTGCTGAGGATCTATGCGAGGGGAATGATTTGTCCGCAGGGTGGGGGGACGTGTCGCCACATTATCAGATTTGTTTGCCCGGCTCAACACTGATTGGCTGGGTAGCCAGCTTCCTGGCCAATCAGCATCGAGCCGGCCAAACAGCATGGAGCCAGCTTCCCGGCTCCATGTTCCCTCACGGCACTGCCGGTCAGAGGTAATCTCCCTCTGGCCAGAAGTTCCGGTATCGGGAAAGGTACCGGAGCATTTGGACGAGTACTCACCCTAAATACTCTGTATCGTTGCATCCCTAATTATAACTAATAAAAATGTGACCGGGTTCTATCCTTCGCCTACTCTACTAAAAGAAAAAAAAAGTTGCTGTTATAAATCTCCCCTCACTTCCTGTCTGGTAATACATTGCGGGCAGGGACAGGAAATCTCTCCAACAGAGTCCGGGCTGGCAGTACAAAACCCGACGGGTTCTTCTCCTTCCCCACTCAATCCAAAACTAAGGACATTTAAAACCTCTTCCCTATGCACCCCAGTCTATATACGGCCAGAATTATATACAAGTGTCGGCCAGTCCGCGTGTGACGCGATTCAAGCCCTTAAGAGAAGAAGGGGAGGGGCTATCCCCCGAAACGCGTTGGCTGTATCTGATGTTCAATAAAAGGTCACAAATTTCCCAAGTGAGATGACCATTTCCACTGGACACTCCTAACCACATATTCAGCCTTTGATCTTCTGATGAACGAATCCTCCGTGATCAGAGTGCAAGCAGCCTAGGACCGGAACCAGGTCCACTCACATCATTTCATGTCCATCAAGAAAAACACCCCCTACATTGGATTTACGCCAGAACCAATTCTCATTCCTATTGGTCCAGATGCTACCAGATTGGACTGCACTCGGTTATGCCAGTGCCAAAGAGTTTGCACCACGAGGTGGGTACATCTGCCTTAGATTGCACCGCAAGTGCCTCATGTGCTGCCCAGGATCTCTCCAAACCTTGGTGAGCTTAAGAGGGAGGTTTCACATTTCTTTGTGCATCTCCCAACCCAACGACACGGTTGCGTCATCTCTGAGTCGCCATCTCAAGTCCAGGAAGTAGACGGTGGACCCTGGATGAGGCCTGAACAAAGATGGCACCATCCTTCTGTAGACAAAAGCTGAGGAAGGCATCATCAGGGGGGAGTCCTGTGATCTCTGTGAGAGGTTATAAATACCTGGAAGTCTTACACGGGCACATTACTCAACATGAACAATAAGTGATGGAAGGAAGTCCCCAGCCATTCCTCTGTTTGCAGCAAAACAGAAGGATGTCCCTGAATGCTGAGCCTCGAAGGGGGACCCAGAGCAGCAGGAGAGTCCATCAGGAGGGAACGCAGATGTTGTATGGTCTCTTATGAAACTTAAAGGATTGGGCCACATACTCCTGGTTCAGAGGAGTGCTCCTCCAGCCATTGGCTAAAATAAGGGCCGGCCTGTGGGACCGGTAGGGAAGGGATGAGGGACCGGTAGGGATTTTAAAGGGAACACTTGATCAGAAGGGAGGGAAGATGTAGTCTGCTTGCTGCGCCCCGCCTCCCATTTGGTGGCGCTGGTAACGCATCCATGCTCCCCCCCCTCCTGCACGTTATGAACAATTGGCCGAGAAGAACGTTTATAAAACGTAGAACTTTTGTTGGGATTATGACTGGACATCCCAACACCCCTCTTACATCTGTGACCCATGCAGACCTCCTGTCAGGGATACCGGCACAGATGACCCCCACACCTGCGCAGGTACCCACACAGGCAGACCAAACACGTGTGACCACACGGACCAGGCAAGTATGTTATATATAGATAGTTTTAATAAACATAGCAAACTGACAGAAACAACCGAAAACAGGCACGAACCAATAATGTGACCCCCCCCCCCCCGACACCCATAACAGGTGTCACAACACAGGAAACAGGGCTCAGGACAGCAAACAGGAGGCAGGGTACAAGATTGCATACAGGTCATAGGGCTCTGGACTGCAAACAGGTATTAAGGCTCTCAGGACTCAGGCAACAGGGGAAGGCAACGGAATACTGAGCCAAGGTCCAGACTGCAGGGAGGGTTTAAATACCCTCCCAGGAAGCAATAGATAATGGGCTGATTCCTGGCAGCTGGGAGACACCCGCAGGTGAGCACTGGAGCTGCAGGTACCAGCCTCACCCAGTGGTGGTCTGGTACCTGACAGTTCCTGGCTTGCCTGGAGAATCCTGCAGGTGAGCCCAGGAACTGCAGGACCTGGTTCCAGCGCCCCCTGGATACAGGAAACAGGGCTCAGGACAGCAAACAGGAGGCAGGGTACAAGATTGCATACAGGTCATAGGGCTCTGGACTGCAAACAGGTATTAAGGCTCTCAGGACTCAGGCAACAGGGGAAGGCAACGGAATACTGAGCCAAGGTCCAGACTGCAGGGAGGGTTTAAATACCCTCCCAGGAAGCAATAGATAATGGGCTGATTCCTGGCAGCTGGGAGACACCCGCAGGTGAGCACTGGAGCTGCAGGTACCAGCCTCACCCAGTGGTGGTCTGGTACCTGACAGTTCCTGGCTTGCCTGGAGAATCCTGCAGGTGAGCCCAGGAACTGCAGGACCTGGTTCCAGCGCCCCCTGGAGGTGCTCTGGATCCTAACACCTCCTTTATGAAAATTCCAAGTTATCCAGCTTTGGTACTTTAGGACATTGACCCGGGACAAGCATGGGGATCCAAAGCTTTCATTATTCCGAATCTGTGCACCTGTTCCGCATTGGTGGCTTTAGAAAGGACTGAAGACATTGAGTCAGGACAGCCAGGAAATGTCTCTTTCTCACACATCGAGGGACACAGAAAGTCTTTAAAGGAGAACTATGACATGAGTGATTTCCACTCACCTCATAGTTCTAAGCCGACCTGCGACAATGAGACTGTCACAGGTCGGCTCAGTAGATCGGGAGGTGAGAGAACACATACCGGCGTTCGCTCACCTCTCGATCCTGTCATGGCTCTCTGCCGTGACAGGGGGAGGGGCTGGATTCCCCTCTCCCCGCTCCGATCTGCCAGCGCTGACTGGCGGAACGGACGGGGAAGGGGGCGGGTACAGCTGGCTCTGCCTATAGATAGGCAGAGCCAGCTGTCACTCACGCAGCTGGGCGGATCCCGTCATGTACGTCAGGATCCGCTCCAGGTGCGGCGTCTCAGTATACCGCGAGCTGTAGCTCCCTATATACTGAGCTTAGGGTGACGGGAGGACGCTAGTTTGTGTCCTCCCGTTACCCTAAGGAGAACTATGGGGAAAAGCCCTGACCTCATAGTTCTCCTTTAAACTTCGGGTTATATTGCCACGTATAGGAGGATTGGACACTGGCAACAGAAACCCCTCTACTACCATCATGCCTCAAGTTTTATGGTAAAGCAGTACCAACAGCATGATCATAAACATAGAGGGGTGGGATCTGTGTCCAGTGGCGTCCCGAGGCCGGGTGTCACCCCGCCGCGTTGTCATTGCACATGCGCGTGACGTCACCTTGTGCGTGCGCGATGACGTCATTGTGCATGCGCGGCCATCTGATTGACGCCTGCCGGCTGCCATCTTGGCGATGGACGCCGGCAGAGAGAGGAGGGGGCGTTTACACGGCAGGATGAGGTATGCCGCCGGGTCCCCTCCTCTCTACTGACACTGTCGGGCTCTCGGTCCATGACCGGATGCCCGACTTTTGAGAGGGGGTGACACCGAAATGACTGTCAGCCATTTTGGTGTCAACCCCTGCAATGGTGTCGCCCGGTCGCGGGCCGCACCCCCCTTGTGACACCAGTGTCTGTGCCCCTCAATGGACTCCGAGAAATGAGACGAGAGAAAGTCTTTTTTCTTTTTCGTCCATCGAGGGGGCACGGGAAGTCTTTAACCTTCAGGACATCATAAAAGTAGTCCAACTGAGGGGTGCTAACAGGCCCAACAAAAACAACGGAGAACGGAGGAGATCCTGCAGCTCAAAGTTCCACCTGAGGGACCATATATCCTAAGCAGGCAGATGAGACAGGAACGC